GCATAACTTCCAAGCCACAGACCCATCCAGATGTCTCAGTCATGTCCAGTGTCCTGGGTTTTCAGTGCTGTAAGATGCCTGCCAGTCAAGCATCAAACCCCTCTTCTCACAGGACTTGTGGGATTGTTTTGGTGAGTACAAACGCAGCAGAAGGAAGCAGGCTGTCAGTTTGACCATTCTGAAATCCATCATCAAATGGGCCAATATTCTAAAATTAAAACCTTTCACTCTTCTCATTTTAAGAAAGCTTTGTTAAAATCTTCCAGCAATTCAGCCTTCCATACCAGAAAGAATTCTGGGATACCGTTTTGAACCTATATCATGAAAAAGAACTGGAGAACTTGTCATGTGGAAAGGCAGAATACAGGGCCATGGATTGCCTCTCTGAAAACAACCTGCTGCCAAGCCCCCCAAGATTTAAAATCAAGGCTTGAAGCACTCCTAGCTGAAATGTTTGATCTGAGAGAGGTTCTCTCTCTAGTTAGAGCTTGCAGTATAAAAAGAAGAAAGGTGAAGCTAATGCTGAAGAGGAAAGCACAATTTTATTTTTAAATTGCTTTTAGAAAGAGGTAGTGTGAGCCCTGTCCACTGGCACAGTTGGAATGGCATAGAATAAGCACACTACTACATGTACAAAAGCAAGCAATCTTACACCGGCAGGGAGACAGACTACTCTGTTGCAATCACTGGTCTCAAGAAATGTGTTCTGACTAGGAGCTTTGGCTTTAAAAATCACTAAATCATGCTTGCTTTGTAAAAATGCAGTGTTCTTTGCCATTTCTTTCAGTCTTACAAAATCCCAAATAACATATCTACATCCTACTGCATTCCTTCTTTTATTCCAGGACACAAATTTCAGCTTCTGGAAAAGCTACTTGTGCTTTCTATCATGATACTCAAAGCATTCAGAATTAGTCATTTAATCTCTATCCAGGCTAAAATGGCTTACTAGAGAAATCTCAGCTTAATAAATTATGTATAAGAATTCTCTCTTTTATGTAGCGTATGTGATCATTTGAGCTATAACATCATTTATGGCTGCAGCAGAATGAACTGAGCAAATACACTGTGGTACAAGCCCGTGTAAGTTAATATTGGTCACAAAGCTGATACACATGGAAAGAAGCAACTGCCAAAAACAGAACAGTTGCAAGTGCTGCCAAAGGCCTTTCACATTCCTAAAGAAGGTGCCAGCAAACTTGCACCTCATCACAAGCAAAAGACAATGACAAGTAGCTATCATGCAAGCTTCTCTCTTCTTACGCTTCTACTAACCTGGAGCTATGAAGTCCAGGCTGGAAACCCAGAAGCGTTTAAATATTTGTTGGGGAAAAACAGACCTCCATCTGATTCAGGATTCCTCCTGAATCCTGCTGCCCTCCAAACCTGCAATATTTCTCTTTCGGCTAGCACACCCTCCGTAAGGGTGAGTTTGTCACTTGACCATCCCACCTACCCCCAGTGTCTAGGCTCTGGTTTCTCTCTGAGATTCCAAAAACAGAGAGGAACATCAAGTTAACCTGCCGTAATTTCACAACATTGTTACAGCAGGAAGTGCTCTGAGAAATCCTCTGTCAGCTTCCTTTCAGCTGCAAAGCCGTGACTCTGACACACAGCCACCTGCAGCCACAGACTGCAGTCCCAGTTTCTTAAGACGTTGGAGAGAGAGATGCAGCAGATGATTCTCCCCCTGCTTCCAGTTAGATGAAAATGTCAATGACTGGCAGCAGAAAGAGTTAATTAAAGGTCTCCTTTCTCTTCCCCTTTAGGAAAAATAAAAAGTTTTCTAAGTCTGAGCTCCAGCCAGAGGTAACTAGAGAGCTAATAACTTCAGGAGGGATGTCGCTTTCAGTCGCTTGAGGGAACTGCTCAGGGAGTCACCTGACAGTGAGCTGACAGTTTTAGAAAAGAGGATATTTCACCGGTGTTTGTCAAGAAAGTGAGTGAAAGGAAACTGTTTTCACAGCACAGACACAGACAGCCACGGTATGCCAGGGACAGAGCACTGGAAGCATCTCGCTTGGCCACGAAGTCCTCAGACGTCACGGGCAGTAACATTTCATAACCGCGGCCCTGTTCTAGGGAGGGCATGAAGGGGACACGCAGGCAGAAGCATTCTGCCCTCCCAGCTCAGCTCAAAGCACATTCAAGACCGGTAGGAAGAGCAGCACAAGAAACGGAGGGAAGATGCTTTTTACTTTGCCTAAATCCAGCTCTAAAGTTAGCTAAGGTCAAGACCAATTGGTTTTGGTACCTTACAATGCGCCTGCATGTCTGCTTATTTCTGTCACAGTCGTTAGCAAGCGGATCCAGACCCCAGTAACTGTAGGGGACATCTGTAAGGTCAGCACTGCTCACTGGCACCGAAGGGTCTGGGACAGGGAGCTCCATCTCCACGAGGGAGGGGATCACTGGAGGAGACCCAGCAGCCAAGCAATATGTGAACATGGTGAAAGAGTGGACCAATGCTAAAGCTCACTTAAGCTGAGCGAAACTTGGCTAGAAAGCACCTTGCACTATGCAGTGTACCCAGTACCATGGCCAAGTGAAGGCATATGCACCCTGGAGATGGGGACACCTCAGAGGAATAACCAAGTCTAAAAATATACCCATGAGATCCTTCAGGAAAAAAAATCCCCAAAGCTGCTTTTGCATGTATTTGGAATCTGTATGAATATATTTGGGATGAATATACAGTATCTACACTTCAACTAGTTGAACGCTTTTGGAGCCAGAGATGAAACTGTTTATTGAAATGAAAAGTGTAATTCTGGTATTTACTTTCCAAAGGATATGCGATACATCACAAACGTAACTCACAGAAGGTATTGGTTCATCTGAATTCTACAAAATTCCATTTGCAGAAATAGACCAGGAGAAGTGTTAGAAGCGACAGGCTGGGGAGCTATTTCTATAACAGATTCACAGATATTTAAACCAGATTAAATTCCAAACTCTAAGAAGCTGCCTTTTAATGTGCATTATCTCCAATCTCTAAAGTAGCATACCTTCTATTCATTTCCAAAAGCATATATTATTTACATTATTTAACATTTGCATTCTGATTGCAATCAGCCTTCTTTCAATAAAATAAATAAAATTACAGTCTGTTAACCCAGAAACATCAAACTCTCACTTCCATTATCAATCAACGCCACTTTTCTGCTAACCGCAACTCAATTAGAATCCAATTATTTGAATAACTGGATGGAAATTGCTATCATAAAATGTACCTTTTTATTAGGAACATTTTGTGTAGAAAATTGACAGCACAGGAATTACAATACTGAGGTTAAAAAGTGTTTTGTAACCTGGGCTGGGAAAAGCTACACTGATGAACATGGAGGGAAAG